GTTATTCACTCCTCTTTGAGAAGATTCATCTATTCCCTCAGGCAGGGTAACTTGAATCCTCTGCCATTCCAGACTGAAGCTGAGCAGTACTGCTTTGGAAGGGCTGTATCTTCCCTCTCTGGGGTACCGAGATTTATTCCTGTTAGTGATCCCAGCATTGGAGGGGGTTCAGTGGTCATTCAGAACCCAAGCTTTTGTCCCATTCACCAGAACAGTGATTTGCTTCTGCTTAGCTCCTAGGAAGGAAAAGGTGCTAGGCTTAGGGGTTTGTCAGGGAGAGTTATTTCAAGGCTGAGTCAGGACTTCTAGCAGAACATTGGGTGAGATTTTTTCCATTTGGGCTTTCTACTGGCAGCTACCCTTGAGTCTGTTAAGGGAACTTCTAGGGAAGAAGTAGCTATGCATGTGTGTGTGTGTGTGTGTGTGTGTGTGTGTGTGTGTGTGTGTGTGTGTGTGTGTGTGTTTGCCAGGCAGAAAGGAAGATGTTTCTGGTGAGTCATGAGAAAGGACTCATAATTAAGGGGCCCTTCAGGTCAAGAATTCTCTGTGCCAGCACATATGTAATCCAGAAGGCTTTCAGGGAATCCAACTGTTCTATGAGCACTTCTCTTGGTCCCTGTCTTTCTCTCATTCTGTGGGACTCTCCCTTTCACTGCATGACCCTGTCACCTTATGTGAGTCTGCCTCTGTCAGTCTTTCTTCTGTGTGTCTCTCTCCTCTATCTCTGTCATTGTATCTGTCTTTGACTTCTCCACCTCTCATATTGTTTCTGCACTGTGCCATCAGTTTCTGCCTCTGTCTTTCTTCTCTTCTGCCTGTCAGTCCCTAGGGTCTATGAAGTGACAAGCCCATGTGGGGAGCTGGCCTGGTCTCCCTTTGGGATAGCAAAGCCAATTTATGGTAAGTAACCTAGGGGAAAGATGAGCTCCTAGGACCCAGGATTTGTTGATACAAATCAGAAAGAGGGATGTGAGGAGCCCTAGCTCTTTAGCACATGGCATCTATGAGAAAACATTAACATGAATAATCAATGACTCCTAAGACAGGCAGCATAAGTACATAGAGAGCCAGCCTTGAAGACCAGTATTTAACTTCCACCTCTGACAAATACTGTCTTTGTGACCCTGGCCAAATCACTTAACCTCTCAATGCCCCACACAACTGAGTAAGACTTTAAATCACAGCCCTACTTTGGTAGACTAGCTCCTTTCAGCAATGAAATAAAAGGTGTGCATGTTGCAGAGTGTGTGTGTGTGTGTGTGTGTGTGTGTGTGTGTGTGTGTGTGTGTGTGTGGCGGGGGGCGTTATTATTCTTTTTAAAGTATTCTGCCTAGTGCGTCAGACAAAGGCCTGGGCTATTTTTCTTATTTATGGTCAGAGTGGCAGAGGTGACTGTACTCTATAATCCCTGTGCCATTAGGAGTTTGTATGAGCACATGCAAAGTTGCAGGGGTCTGGCTGGCATTTGCTGAAGGGCATGAAAATGATAGGAGGCAGATAAAACTGTGCATACCTGCTTGGTGGATCAAGAATGGATGACTGACTCAGTGAAAACCTGGTGGTGGGAAAGGGGAAAGGGCAAGGAGGAAAAGGAGTAACAGCTGAAAAAGGAGGATCCCAGTCCTGCCCAAGAAGGCTGTCCTTATTGAGCTAATGCTGTGTTTTCGTTGGTAACTGCAACAATGCCACCAAATTGCCTTTTGCAGGTATGAAAGTGGCCCCTGGGCTAACCCACTTTGCTTCTGTTTGCATTACATTTCTTTTCCCCAGTAGATTTGCCTATTTGTGTTAGGCTCAGGGTCACATTGAAGCAAACCCAGATTTATGGGATCATGGGCACATATGCTTGGTGGTTTAAGAAGCCAACCTGGGATTAATAACAATTCCTTGCATTTATATAGTGCTTACACTTTTCAGCGTGATTTCATAGGCATCATCTTATCTGATTAAAAATGTGCTATGGAAACCATGTGAGTTGACTATAGACAGTATGTTAAATTTGTTGGTGACATCACTGAGGGGGGGTGGGGAGAGGCAGTGCTTTGTCTATAAGGAATGATAGGGCACAGTATTTCTTAGGCACAGATGTTGGAGTGTGAAATCAGGGGAACCTTTACAAGTCAGGAAGTAATTTCTTGGCATATGATAACATTTATGCCTGTAGCAGATCATGTAGACTACAGTTCTATAGATCTACTTTTGAATCAACTGGCAGAATTCACTTAGCTGGAACATAATACATAAAGGGCCTTGATAAGCTTCAGCTCAGGGAGAGGAAGGCAATGCTGAGCCCGGGGTTCTGAGGTGACCACTCTTGTACTCTGAGGCATCACTTCTGCCCTTTGTTGTTGTTGTCTGACTCTCTGACTCCATTTGGGGTTTTCTTGGCAAAGACACTGGACTGGTTTGCCGTTTCCTTCTCCAGCTCACTTTATAGATGAGGACACTGAGGCAAACAGGGGTAAGTGACTTGACCAGGGTCCCACAGCTGGTGTCTGAGGCCAGATTTGAACTCATGAAGCTGAATCTTCCAGACTTCAGGTCCGGCACTCTATCCACTGTGCCACTTTGTCAATAAGCATCTAGTGAGTGCTGACTCTGTGCCGGGCACTTTGCTAATCACTGGGAATATCAAAGTAAAACCAGGCTTCGCCTTCTCGGAGTGCACGTTTTAATGGAGAGGCACTATGTCCACAACTAGCTACATACACAACACATACAGAGAATGTCAAGATAACCCTAGGGAGGCGGGCACCTGGGAGGGCCTCATGCAGGAGGGCAGACTTGAGCCGAGTCTGGAAGGAAGCCAGGGAAATCTAAGAGGCGTAGGGGAGAGGGCAGAGCACCCCCAGGTTTGTGGCTAATGGTGCAAAGGGACAGACGTGGGAGAGGGTGTTGAATGCAAAGTATTGCCAAGTGAGCCAGTGGGCCGCCTCCCAGAAAGGGAGGGAGGGGCCAGGCTGTGAAGAACATTCAGCGCTAAATAGAGGATTTTACATTTTATCCCGGAGGTATTAAGGAACCCAGGAAGTTCACTGGGCTGTCAGTCAGGTCCTTTGACTTACCTTAGGTCTGGGGAAGCCAGGAGAAGGAAAGAAGCCCTAGCAGCTAGCAGCTGTCACTGGTAGTTATACGCCACTAGGGGTTTGAAGCAACTATTTTTTCTTTCTTTCTAAAAATGGGTAGGTTTCTCCTCCTCCTCCTCTTCCTCAGACAGTATAGTATCTATGGCTGAGACAAACAAAGATACAAATTGCGGAGAGTAAAGACTGGGGTACAAGAGGACGGGGGTCGAGGGAGAGTTTACACAACAAGACCCAGCCCTGGTCCTTCCAGTCAGATTTTGCTCTGTGCTGAAACTGGACTGAGCCAAGGAGAGTAGTTATCAGCTTGAGGGAAGTGAGACGTCATGGAGGGAAGGGAAAGTTCCAGAGATCTGGGGCTGCCTTGCCTGAAAGGGAAACCTGCTGAGGGCACTGATGGAGAAGGGAGAAAGGCTTGGAGGAAATGGAAAATTCCCTCCACCTAGATTTATATGTTTCTGAAGGTAGACAATATGAGAAGGGGAGGCTGACCAGGTCACATCCTTCTCAGCAGCAGGGGAGAGGTGGTGGTGAGGGGAAGACTGCTGGTGAGGGCGTGCAGGGATCCTAAGCAGGCAGGGGGAACATTTCAAAGGCTTAGAGAGCTCCCACTTCCTGTTTCTGGAAAGAGCCAGAAGCTCCAGAGGAACTGGAGGCAGGAAAAGGCAGACAGCTTTCTTCTTTTCAAGGTGACAGCTAAGCTGATAAAGGAATCCACAATGGTGTGCTAATGGGTGTTGATGTGTTAATGGAGAGATCTAATCCCCCAACCCAGAGCCCAGGTAACACGTATGTGTTTTAAAAGGGGCCAGTTCTAATGGTGGAATTTCAGGCACTGTGGCAAATCTTTTTAGGTTATGCCCCTTCAGGTCACAATCTGTCCCTTATCCTAAGTGCTGATCATTCTAGGAAAAGATTTTTGGGGAGGGAAAAGCGACCTTTCCAAAACTCACTTCCATCAACTTCTCCTCGGCCCCTGTGGTCAGATTATGACTCAGATTCCCTAGGCTGGAGGAGGAGTAGTCTTCTTTCCCCTGTCCCTTATCCAGAGTATACACGCCCTCCAGGATCCATGTTTCCCAGGGTCTCCACATGCTTAGCCAGCGTGTGTTGAATGTGTTTACATTCCTCAGACATCTGGTGACTGCTGGGGCCCACTACTACCCAGCTGGGCACTAGTATCAGGGCTGCCAAATGGACAGCTGATTCCCACCACCTGGAGGTCTGAGAAGGCGTGAGCCCCAGGAGCCTCCCTCCCCCCCCCCCCCCCCCCCCCCCCCCCCCCCCCCCCCCGCCAAAGGGAGCGATCCATCAGAATAGGCCTCTGCTCCAAGAACGTGTGTGTGCAGCACGCGTACGTGCATGTGCTCCCTGGCATTTGTCTTTATCTTCCTTCTTTTATTTTATCTGTATCTTTATCTCAGTCCATCTGTTTCTATCTGAGGCCGTGTGACCATGTCATTTTCTTCCTTTGGACCTCTTTTTCCTCGGCGTTCAGATGGCGCTCAAGCTGACCTGTAAGATGCTAACATGCCAGCACTGTCTCTCTGTTTCTTTCTGGCTCCTCTGTCTTGCTTTATTTCAAATGGTGTTTTAAGTTGCTGTTGGCTACAGCTTTTTACCTTCCCTATAGAAGTTCTCCTTTGTGCACAGATGGCCTTGTGAGAACCCTTGCTCCTGGGTGTTGGGAGCTTTTGTCTTTGGTCAGTCCAGTTCTTGGCCTGGTTCAGACCCGGAAGCCTCTCTGCACTTAGCAAAGGCAAGGCTGGGAATGGTTGTAGCCAGTAGAGGAGAACCTTAGAGATGCTTCTTGTCCAGGCTCAAGAGTGAGGAATTTGAACTCCCAGACTCTGTCCCTGGCTTTCAATGCTCACACCTGATTTTCTTTTCAGTCTTGTTTCTTTTCTCTCTCTCCAGAAATTGAAGCCAAGGAGGCCTGTGAGTGGCTGAGGGCAGCTGGTTTCCCCCAATATGCTCAGTTATTTGACGGTATGGCAGCCTGTGGGTTCCTCCTATGTGAATGTTAATACCTTGTATTTGTACAGCTTGTGGGGGAGGGTGATCTTAAAACTATTCTCTCATGTTACCTTCACAATTTTTCCCTGTGAGGAAACTGAGGCCTAGAAGGGCTAATTTAAGGGGAGAAATAGGGGGGCAAAATGGTGATGAGAATCTCATCCCCCTGCCTCCTGGCAACCTACTAACTCTTTCACTAAAACACAGAGTCCTGACTCAATGTGACAAACATTTTTTAAAACTTCAATTCTATTTTATTTCCAGATCTGCATTTTCTCCTTCTTACCTACCCCCTGCCACCTGAAACCTCCATTGAAAAAGCAAGAAAAATAAAAACCCATCGCAAACGTGTATAGTCACGAAAAACAGATTCTCACACTGGTGACATCCCTCCCCAAAACTGTCTCAGTCTGCACTCTGAGTCCAATATCTTTCTATCTGGAGCTGGGCGGTGACATGAGAATGCCTGGTCATCAGGGTGACCAGAGTTCCTAAGTCTATCAAAGTTGTCTGTCTTTATAATAATATTGTATACATTGTTCTCCTGATTCTACTCATTTCACTTTGCCTCAGTTCATACAAGTCTCCCCAGGCTTCTCTGAAGCCATCCCCTTTATCATTTTGTAAAGCAAAATAATATTCTATTGCATTTGCACACTGTAACTTTTTCAGCCCAAATGATGGGCATCTGCTCAGTTTTCAATTTTTTGCCACAACCAAAGAGAGCTACTATAAATATTTCTGCGCCCAAAGGTAGCAGTATTGCTGGGTATGTGCAGTTTAGTAGCTTTGGAGACATGTTCCAAAATGCTTTCCAGAAGGGTTGGACTAATTCACAATTCTACCAAGAGTGTACTAATGTACTGGTTTTTCCCCAGCCTCTCTCCCCCCAGTATTTGTTATTTTCCTTTTTTCAACTTTGCCAATCTAATGGATTGGAGTTGGTACCTTTTTTATGTGAATTTCTCCAATTATTAGTGATTTAGAATATTTTTGTATGGCTATTTCAGCAAATATTTATTAATTGTATATCACGTACAAGGTACTGGAGATACAAAGACAAAACAGTCAGTTCCTACCCTCAAGAAGCTTACTTGTAGCAAGATGACATATATACATACACACACATATACACACACACACACACACACACACACACACACACACACACACACACACACACACACACACACACACACCCCTCTGAATCTAGTATAAGGAAAACTGATGGAATACCACTGATAACTGGAGGAGGCAGAGAGGCAGGTAAGGCTTCAAGGAGGAGGCACCTACGCTGACCTTGAAAGGGAAACAAGAGGGTGCTGAGAGACGGAGATGATGAGAGAACACAATAAACATTCTTGGGCAATCAGTGGGTCCTATACACTTTTGAGGAAGGCTGTGAGTAGCCATGGGTCACTGGCACAAGCACTAATCCATGAGTACTAACAGCGGGAGCCTGGTGAGTACACTGGGTGGGAGTAATGGGAGTCACCTCAATGGAGCTGACCCAGCTTAACCTTTTGCAGACATGCAGTTTCCCATTGACATCCAAACTGTCCGACGTGACCACGAGTTCCTAGACCAGGACGCCTTTGAGTCTCTTTACAGGTGGGTGTGGAGCTGCCCACCTCCCCACCACCTGCATGCACTCTGTGATTACAGAATCATCAACTATCGAGAGTTGGAAGAGATCTCTCAGATAATTTAATGAATGCTGGAATCCCCTTTGCAATATTTCCAATAAGTGTTAATCTAGTCTCTGCTTGAAGACTTCCTGTGATGTGGAAACCGCTGCCTCCATTCTGTCTTTGGACAACTTTAATTGTTAGAAAGTTAAACCTCTTTGCCTCTTTTGCTTGGCTCCCTCACCTGCCCTCTCTCCCTTTCACTGAGAGCCACATGCAGCCCTTTTAACAGGACTACACAGGGGGGACCAGAGGCCAGGCAGATGGCACTGCCAATTTCATTCACCTTCTTCCTTACACTTTAAATCAATCAATCGGGATAGTGGATGAGGCTATGTCTAAGGTCCCTTGACTGTCAAAAATTTCTCATCTATACAACCATTAAATTAGGGAGTAGTTATTTAGTTTTAAAAAGAATCTTCACTTTGATGTAGGATGTACTCATAGGATTGAAATATTCCCTTTCCCATCTGTCTCTTTTTTTCCCCTTGTCTCTTTCTGTCTTTGCCAGTCTCACTGACTAGCACACTATACACAACCGTCTAAAGTTATCTCTCTCCTCTAAATCAAGTACACCTGTGCTGTACCCCCCAGCCTGCGTTAGAGTCCCCCGACCTGGTGGCCTGTCTACCCCCAGAGCCCCAACCTGGATAGGTGAAGTCACCCATTTAGGTCTCAAAGCTAGGAGGAAGATTGGGGGTGGGGAATGTCCTGTGGCTCCCTAGGCTCAAGGATGGTTGGCCGTGGTAAAACTGAATGGAAAAGCTTTGGGACATCTTCTTTCTCTCCTAGGCGACTGAACGCCCTGAACAAATGTGCAGAGATGAAGGTGGAGTTCAGCTGCCAGAGGAGGAAGGTAAATGGTCACAGCTGGGGTGTGGTCAGTTTCCCAGTAGGAGTGGGAACCCTAGTCCTATTTTTGGGGAAAGGGGGGAAACATTTGGTCTTTGGCTTCTCTGGCCTCTCTAATGGATGCTGGATGTCCTTCGAATATAAGTGGCAAAGCACTTCATACTCAGAAGGTAGCTGGAAGGGCTAGCCTTCACTGGAGCAGTGGGAATGTGCCCAGGCCTGCCCGGTTTGCCCTTTGGAAGGGGCAGGGAGCAGTGGCTTGAGCCCTTCTCAAGAGCACTGTGCCCCTTTGCCCGCCTTCTGGAAGATGTCACCCCTTGCCCTTGTTTCTGGTGCTGACCTTACTTTTTTTCTGCCCAACAGAGCGATGAGTCTGAGGATGACGAACCATGTGCTATCAGCAGCAGGTGGGCGTATGAGCGCTGCAGCCGCCGCTGGTCCCGCCTGGACAGCCTGGAAGTCTTCCCAGGGGGAAGTGGTTCATCCAGCAGTCCTGTCCTAGAGAGACCCCCAAGGATCCAGAACAGGGGCACTGAGGAGCCAGCTTCCCCAGAGCCAGAGGAGAAGCCAGATGCCTCTTCCATGAGTAGCTGCAGCAGTGGCGACAGTGATGTCCCCTCTCCCAGGCCCTTTGAGGATGCCGAGTCCAGCCATAACTGCTCCCATTTCTCCTATACCAACAAACTGTCTTCACCTGCCTCTAGTACCAGCCATTCCTCATGCCCCATGGAGACACTGAATGTCACTGGTGAAGACCTACCCGCTGCAGAGAAGCCCCTCCAACCAAACCGGGGCAAGAGCTTCTTGAGAAAGATGGAGAAGTTGAGGCTGCGAAGCCCGGGGTCTAAGCGCAGTGGGGCTCCCCGGCCCCGGCCCCCGATTAGCGGGCCCACCCTCCTTGAGGGTTTGGATGATGACAAGCTCCGGAGTCTCAACTGTGTGAGCATTGGCCGAGACATGGGAGCTTGCCCATCCTCACCACCAATCTGTGGCAGCAGCAGCGGCAGCCAGTCAGAGACCAGCAGCACCGTAAGCACTCCGAGTCCCGTGATTCGGGTCCGCAGCCACAGGCAGAGGAGCGGCGGCGACCCCAGTTTAAGCCCTACCTCACCACGGGGTGATGTGACTGAGCAGAACCTTCACAACCAGCTGTTCCAGGTGCCAGTCGGCCATAAACCGGGCACCTTCCCCAAGGATCTGACCCTTAACTCACCACCAACCTTAGATAACCCATCAGTTAATTGGCGGACAGGCAGTTTCCATGGTTGCCACCGGAATCGGTTTGGAACCAGCTCCCAGGAGATGGATCCTTCCAACCGCCCACCTGGGCTGCCAGATAACAGGCTCAGTGTCTACGACAACGTGCCAGTGCTGGTCCTTGGCAGGACAGAGGGTGTCAGGTCCCTGGACAACGATCTCATTTTAGATTTTGACCATCTGATAGAGGACATGAATGAACTGCAGAGGCGAGAGAGCCAGTGGGCAAAGAAGGATTCATACTATAGGGACTTTGATTTTACCAGCTCCCCAAACTTACCTGCTGCCCCTGCCCAGATTCTCCTGGAGATCACCGAGCCTTCTGGGGAGACAATATCTGGGACCAGGCCTGGTGGAGGAGCAGAGCATCACCATAAAAGAGGCCATCCTTGGGACTTTCCCAAATCGTCGTGTTCCGGAAGGTCAGATACTGCCTCCTCAAGCCCCCACAGGTGAGCTCTGCTCTGTGGCTTTGGCCTCCCTAATCCCCCTATTCCTTTGTCTCTCAAAGCTTTCCTTAAGGGCCTCACTTTAGGAAACCAACCAGAACTTGGGCTCAATCATCACTGTGTCCTTTTATTTGTATTTCTCAGATAATCTGATCATACCAACAACTGCATCTGCCATAATCACATATTCTTCTATTCAGATGGGTAATAAGGGAAGGGAATAGACATTTATTAAGCTCCTACTACGTGTCAGCCAGATCGCTTACCCCTTCCACAAAATATATGTGTATAAAAATGTGCATGTAGGTTGGAGAAGTACTATCTCATTTGATCCTCACAACAACCCTGCTCCAGTCCTTGGGGAAAGCATGACTTGCCCATCATCATTCTAGTTAGTATTAGAAAACAGAGATGGTTCAACTAAGCACTTTACAAATAGGATCTCATTTGGTCCTCACAACCACCCTGGGAAGTGGGTGCTATTATAATCTCCAGTTTGAGGACACTGAGGCAGACAGCAGTGAAGTGATGTGCCCAGGTTCACACTGCTAGTGTTTCGAGGTTAGATTGTAACTCGGTTCTGCCTGACTCCATGCCCAGTGCGCTGGCCACTGCGCCACCTTGCTGAGAAAGCTAATGACAGAAGCAGGCTGAGAACCTACGTATCTGGACTACCAATTAGTGATCTTGTCGCCATTCTACACAGCCTCCTATCAGGGAGTCCGATTCCCCTTATCCCAACCCCTCAAGCTACCCCGCACAGACTTCCCAGAGACAATGTTCCTGGTGGAAACAACATTGGGCCAAGAACTGGAATACTTGGGTTCTAGCACGGGCTCAGTGACTTTACTTCTCAGTGCCCCAGGTAATTCTCGAAGATGAATAATAGAGATGTTCTAAGATAAATGACAGAGAACTTGCTGATCTGTATCTTTCACGCTGGAAGTTCCTTATGGTAGTAAGATCACAGGTCCAGCCAGATCGCTTACCCCTTCCACAAAATATATGTGTATAAAAATGTGCATGTAGGTTGGAGAAGTACTATCTCATTTGATCCTCACAACAACCCTGCTCCAGTCCTTGGGGAAAGCATGACTTGCCCATCATCATTCTAGTTAGTATTAGAAAACAGAGATGGTTCAACTAGATGATCTCCACCATCCCTAGCCTTTAATTTAAATCTAGCTATTTAGACAGCATTGCTATCATTTGTTGTGATTATAGGTTGGATGGAACCATCCATGTAAATAACACTAAGGTTAGGGTTTTCTAAAGGTATAGCTGTCTACTAAGCCAACTGTTGGCTTAGTGGGTGCACTGTAGAGTGACAGCTGATAATTTAAGTGGGGTATTTATCATGCTGTGAAAAGAATAAAAATGCCTATAGTTGTTTAAATTGAAATACCTTTTAAAAAAAAGATCTGAGGTCCCTTCCCAGGTCTAAAAACTGTGACCCCTAAGATACAGAACAGGGGATGGGAGAAAAGCTGCTGCTTTCTATCTTTTAGGATAGAGTCTAGGATTCTAAAGGAAAGAAGAAGACGAGGGGATGGAAAAAGAAAACAAAAAATTGTAATGCCAATTAGTCCTTTAGGGGTTTCTGGGCTTAGCCTGGAAAGGAGAGTAGATGAAAGACTCACTCCCCTTCTCACAGTTCTGGAAGCTCTAAAGCAGAAAAAGGGCTGGGGTACTGGTAGAAGGGGGCAAAATATGACCTAATCTCATCCCATATATCTATCTCTCTTGGCTTTCTAGGCTCAGTAAATGGAACTGGTCAATGGAAGAAACAACTGACCTGACCAAGCCCTTCCTGCGGGTTGAAGAACAGTCAGCTGTACAACTCAACTATTTAAAGAGTGTGGCTATGTTAAATCTCTCTGCCATCATGGAAAAAAATCCACTCTCCAGTAAACAGGGCTGGAATTGGTGAGGCGCCAGAAGCTAGGGGCTACTTGGCCTGGCTTTGGAAGGTGGAATGGGAGAGGTCACTGTTCAGGGTAGTCCCAGGCAGCTAGTGGCACCAAGGCTAGAGTGCTGGTGTGGAATCTGACCCAAGTTCAAATCTGGCCTCAGGCACTTACTAGCTGTGTAACCCTGGGCAAGTCACTTAACATCTGTTGGTCTCTGTTTCCTCAACTGTAAAAAAGGGGTAATAACAGTACCTGCCTCCCAGGGTTGTTGTACAGATCAGATGTGGTCATCACTGTAAAGTGCCTAGCACGGTGACTAGCTCATAGTAATGCCCATACAAATGTTAGCTAGGATAACAAGTACTATTATAAATAATATTAACATTAATAATGTTATTATTAATCTAGGCCCTGGACATCAAAATCATTCCATGGATGCTACATGGATAAGTCTTAACAGGAGGGCAATCTGATTCGTTCTGAGAATCCTCTCTTAACCTAGCTTGGCACAGAGGAGACCAAGATCCCCTTCTCCCCAAAACTAGAAATAGAAGAGGTGTATGTTGCAAGGCTATGTCATCAATAACTTGGCTCATTCTCTTTAATTCTTCCTATTGGCTGATCTGACATTCTCATTCTGCTTCCTCACAGTGGACACTTATCTAGTGTTCTGAGATGTGCTTTGGGCCAAGTAAAGGCCATGAATATGGGTCCATGTAGATTGTAATTGGAGGTTTTTGGCTTCACTTTCAGGCCAGTCCCCAAGTTCATCAGGAAGAATAAATACCCTGACTTTAAAGGCAAGAATGTGTTTGGAGTCCCACTACTACTAGTTGTCCAGAGGACAGGCCATCCACTCCCACCAGGCATTTTCCAAGCTATGGAGTATCTGAGGGCGCAGTTTCTGGACCAGGTACCACTGTGTGTTTGAATCTGCCCTTAACTCTCTGGCATCATCCCCACTATCGCCATCACTATTATTATTGACATCATTATTTATTAATTATAAAACAGTTACTAAATAAGTATTCTTTGTGGTACCCTTCACACAGACCAGAAAGTATCTTCACTCTTCTCTGCCCAAGGGAAATGATACAGGCCCTGTCTTTAGAAAACCGAGTCAAAGAAATAAAGACACACATTACATAATAAAAAGATAACAAAAGTTATACATTAAATAAGTGTATAAATTAGATAAGTTCCTCATTTATATCTACTATAAGCAGAGGATATTACAGGACAAATACACAGTGATGGGGTCCAAGGATTAAGGATGGGTAGGACTCAAGAGAGATGCAGCTTCTCTTTTCTCTGCCCCTCAACTACCAGCTCCACAGAAAAGAGCTCCCCAACCATTTGGGTTTACTTTACAATTAGTTCTCACACATCTGTGAAGGTCCCAACTCCCATGACTTGCACATACCACAATATTCCCCTGAAATACATACATAACCTAATTTGGATACATAAGAATTCATCCCTGACACACAGCACAGAAACCAGTTTATCCATCCGGACTTTCAGTATATATATGTGTGTGAGTGTGTACATATATACCCTGTACACATGTAAACAGAGTCCAAAATGCATACCCTATATATACACAAGTTGTGTATGTATGAGCATATCCGCATAGAAGCCACATGTTAATGAATATATTCATACACAATCACCTCATTTTCCTTATCCATGAAATTAGCAGGTTGGACTACAAACTCTAAAAATTACTTTTTCCTAGAAGGCTTCTAGGGAATCACAGCTTTTGATACCTACATATCCATAACCTGCCTCCAGTCATACCAACTTTTCCTATCCTGACCTCCTTTTCACATATTTACAGATACATCATTTTTCTAACCCTATCTGTTGGAAAGGGAAGTAATATTAGGAAAGGAGGGCGGAAAGAAGTGGGAAGACTGACAACATCACAGAGCCTCGTGGGAGCACTGAACTTTCTGTGTACCTGGTCTTCTATGACTCCATGTCGTTCTGCCCCCAGGTTGGCTTGTTCAGGAAATCAGGGGTGAAGTCTCGGATCATGTCCCTTCGGGAGATGAATGAGGCCCACCCGGGCCATATGGATTATGAAGGCCATTCTGCTTTTGATGTAGCTGACATGGTGAAGCAGTATTTCCGAGACCTCCCTGAGCCCATCTTCACTAGCAAGATCTGTGAATCCATTCTTCACATATATCAATGTAAGTGCCTGGGGAGAGGTGCTCCTGGGTAGGGGGGTGACTCCTTGAACATTGTTACCCCACTCTTACTTCATAGAGCCTACAGCTGGCCTCTGGCAACATTGTAAAATGGACTCAAGTGTGTCTTTCTCCTCTATTCCCCACCTCCAGCCCTGCCCTGACCCACCCCCTGTACAGAAGCTCAGGCTAATGGCCTCATACTGTCCTCTTCCTTTTGTCAAAACCTGCTGTTAGAGGGAAGTCCGTTATTAGTACTTCAGGGTGAATTTCAGGACGGCTTTTCTTTTCCCAAATGTTTTCATTGTAAATCTGATCTCTCAGTGAGGCCCAAAAGGTTTTGTCTCCTATGACTAGGCTTTGGAGGCCACAGGAGGGGATGGGGCTGCCTTTGCTTCTAAATGCACAGCCTTCCGTGCCATCCATCCTCCCACAGCCACTGCCTTCAGCAAGAGGTGTGTATGGTATTCCTCACTGAACAAGGACACAAAGACACTGATCTTCCCTTTTCTTTTTGTCTTTTTTTTTGACTTAATTTTTATTGATGCCCTTTATTTTTTATGCCAGAATCTCTTCTTGACTAATTTCCTCTCCCAAAGTCAGTGTCCTTGTGACTAAAGCCCAGGCCTGACCACAGACCCCCCCACACGGTCAGAGTAACGTGTGGGTGTGGGGTCCAACACGTCTCTCTCTCTCTCTCTCTCTCTCTCTCTCTCTCTCTCTCTCTCTGCTTTCCACCCTTTCTCTCTTTTGTCCCTCTCTCCCTCCTCGCTCAGTTTCTAGAGTCAAGGGCCAGCTACAGCCACATAACCATATGGTTACTACTGCTCAAAACTCTCTGAATTTTAGGTGTTACATCCTGGTCTGGGGAATACACATTCCTCCTCCTAATCACCACTCTAGCTTCTGAGCCCTGGTGTGCTATGCACTCACACAAAATCAGTCACTATGATACCATTAAGTCATAACTCACTAACTCACAGAAACTGAAAAGACGGAAAGGGAGCACGTGTTATTAATCTATTCTATCATTATTAAAAGTAGGGGAAAGGCACCTACTATGTACAGTGGGTGTGCCGAATGCTTTAGAAATATCATTTCATATTTTCTCACAACAACCTTATGAGGAGGTAGATGCTATTATCATCCCCATGTTACAGTTCAGGAAACTGAGGCAAAGGTTAAGTGACTTACCCAGGAACACACAGATAATGTCTGAAGTCACATGTGAACTCAGGTCTTCCTCCTCCGTGTCTAATGCTCCAGCCCCTGCAGCACTTAGCTGCCTCAAGAATAATATTTATTCATCAGATGGCAAATGCAAAAATAATCAATCATTGTAGTTTTCCAATAGGAGGCAAAAGTAGGAATAATTAAGGCATCGCCGTCCACTCTCCCAGCAATGCAGCAGTGTCTATGAAAGTGAGTGGGTACACACTTAACAGAAACCTAACAGGGAGGCAGTGAGTGTGGGGAAACCCCCAGGTCAACTCACAACTCTGGACTGGAGGCCTTGATGTATTTGATCCCTTAGGGAATAATCTTCTCCCCTTCTGGTGCTCACCTTTCTTCTGCTGACAAGTTCCTCATAGCCACTTTTCTTTGGGCACTAAAAAATCTTAAGCCAAAGAACCGCAAAGCTCCTTAAGTCTACACATAGCAGAGGATTCTGCTTTGTCCAGCTGGCTCTCAGCAAAGACAAGTCTCTTCTCACAGCAAAGTAAATGGGAAGGCTGTCCTCCCTGTTTGCTCCTCACAAACCCCCGAGAGGTTTCCTCTTTCCCATGCTTTAGATAATGCCAGAGAGCAATAACAGCTCAGGCAGTGCAGCAGGACTTGGCCCTCCTTGAATCAGCACAAGAGCTCAAGGCCTCTTAGCTGACCCACTCTTTTTTCAGCTCATCACCAAATCCAAGCTTCTCTTCTAGTCATCAAGCTCCCATCAAAGTAGTGTGAAAAGTCAGCTGCCTGATCTGGAAGCCTTCTGTGTCTCTTGTCCCTCGCTTCTTGGTGACTCTTCCTGCACTCGGCTTAATCTCCTGCTTTTTCTGTCTCTTCCTATAGCTTCTTCTCTGGTTTCTTATATCGTCCAATGCCTCAAATCAGAGCATCCTGGTGGTCAGTGACTCATCTTTACCTTAGGAGGTAAAACTCGAGAAATCCACCTTTCTGTCAGGTATGAACCCAACAGTTCTTATATAATCTTAGCATTGTCCCTTATTATTTGATTTGTGATTTTTTTCAGTTATAACCTTCAAAAGTCTAAAAAACACATGCAAATGATCTGTGAGACCATAATGCCCTGCAGGCATCATTATACCAGTGACTCCTTTGCCGTCAAACATGGTCTCTTAGTACATTCAACTGAGAGGCAGTTACTTTTTTTTTTTGGAAGGTAAAGAAAATCTTTGTAACAAATATGCATGGTCAGGCAAAGCAAATTCCCACATTGCTCATGTCCAAAAATAAAAAATAAAAGGGGCCTCCTGAGTCCATCACCTCGCTGTCAGGAAGTAGTAATAACGTGCTTCATCATTGGTCCTCTGGAATTTGTTTTTCTTCATATGGTTGTTGTTATTGTATAAATTTTTCCTGGTTTTGCTTATTTCACTCTGCATCAGTTCCTAAAGATATTTCCAGGTTTCTCTGAAGCAGTCCCTTTTATCATGAGGCTCAGTGAGGTGGCATACTTATCAGCTGAGTGATCTTGAGCAAGCCAGTTAAGTTCTGTTTGCCAGTTTCTTCAACTGTAAAATGGGATCATAATAGTGCCTACTTCTCAGGGTTGTTGTGAGGATCCAATGAGATCATATTTGTAATGTGCTTATTAGGAGACTGCCTAGAAGATAGTAGATGCTATATAAATGCTAGTTGTTATTATTTCTTACAGCACAATAGCATTTCATTTTATTCACATACCATCATTTGTTTAGTCATGTCCGATTGATGGGTATTTCCTTAGTTTTATATTTATAGATCCTTTTCCTATATCTTTGATCTCTCTGGGCTTAATAGCGGTACTGCTAGATCAAAGGGTATTTGCACTGTGGAAACTTTTGGGGCATAGCTCCAAATTGCTCTCCAGAATGGCTGGATCAGTTCACAGCTCCACCAACTGGGCATAAATGAACGGGTTTTCCCACAGCTTGAGATGCAGCTCTCGATCTGTGTCACTCACCATTTTATCTGTGAGGCTGCTGCTTCTTATGCTGGTTTGATCAGTTTTCCTTATGTGGATGTTCTTTTCTTTTTTTTTTTTTTGCAACTGTCAGCAACCAAACTGTTCCCATACAAAGGCAGCAGTATCTTACATATTCCTCCAATGAATAATTTTCAGCCCTCTGGTAAACAGTATATTATTAGAGTAAGTCTGGGAAAGTGCAGATGGACAGGTCAGTGAAGATTCTCACTTTGCTTCAGGGGGTTTGCTTCAGTGGGGTTTAAGAAAAAGAGAAAGAATGTGAAGAAGAATAGGGCTGGAACCAAGTGGGAAGGACCTGAAAGAAAGGGAAGTTGCTCTGGGCCAGGGCAGGAAGTAGAGAGTGGAGTCTGATAGAGTTGGGGGCAGAGGGGGAGAGATGATACGGTGAGAATTATCATCCTTTTTCAGAGATTCTGATTTTTAATACATTACCTACATTTCCCAACATATGGCTTCCTTTCCTCCTCCCCAAGGGCCATCCATTATAATAAAGAACAAAAAAAAAGAGGAAAGAAAAAAGTCAACAAACATTTATTAAGCCCTTATTATGTTCTAAGGAGTATGCTAAAGACTAGGGATAGAGACAAAGGCAAAAACAACAACCCTGCCCTCAAGGAACCCAAACTGTAATGGGTAATACAAGATATAGATAACTATGAATATATAAAGATATATTTAGAGTGTCTCAGGTGATGTCAGAGAGATGATACTAGCAGTGGGACGGAGACAGAGGGAGGGGAAGACCTGAAGAAGGTGGAATTGGAGGTGAGTTCTGAAGGAAGCCAGGGAAGCGCATGAGTGGAGTTAGGGAGGGAGAGCATTCCACGTAGGGGGCACAGTCAGTGCAAAGGCATGGATGTGCAAGAAAACAGCAAGTGGGACAGTATCACTGGATCTCAGAGTATGTGGAGGGGAAGAAAGTGTAGGACGACTGGAAAAGTAGGAAGGGGCCAAGTTGTGATGGGCTTTAAATACAAAACTGAGGACTTTATATTTGATCATGGAGGTAATAGGGAACCACTGGAGTTGCAGAAGCGGGGGGGGAAGGGAAGAAGGAAAGGTGACATGGACTGTCTTGGGCTTTAGAAAAATCACTTTGGCAGCTGAGTGGAGCACAGTCTAGAGGCAGGGAGACCAAGCAGAAAGAAACTGCAGTAGTCCAGATGCGAGGTGAGGAGGGCCTACACGGCAATGGTGGTTATGTAAGCGGAGAGAAAGGGACAGAGATAAAAAATGCTGCGAAGATAAAAGCAAAATTTGACAAGAGTGGAATGTGGGATGAGTTTGAATGAGAGGTTGAGAGACTAGGGTCACAAAAGTGGGTGAGTGGGAGGAGGGTGGTACACTTAACAGTAACAGGAAGGTCGGGAAGGGGGAGGGTTTGGAGGAAAAACAGTGAGTTCTGCTTTGGACATGCTGAGTTTGAGATGTCCAGTAGACAGTGGGTGATGTGCAACTGGACCCCCAGAGAGAGATCTGGGCTGGATATATAGATCAGAGAATCATCTGCACAAAGATAATCAAACCCATGAGAACCGATGAGATTCTCGGGTAAGGTATTATAGAGGGAGAAGAAAAGAAGGCCCAGCGCAGAGTCGATGGGGACATCCAGGTTTAGTGTGCAGGACCTGGAATAAAAACCAATAAATGAACAGAGAAGTAGCAATTACTCTAGTAGGAGGGAAACCTGGAGAGAGAAGTCTCATGAAAACCTAAGGAGGGGAGAGTATCGAAGAGAAGAGGATCATTAACCATGTCAGAGGCTGCAGAGGAGTCAAGGACAAGTGAAAAAAGGCCGTTAAAGTTGGCAGTTAAGAGATCATTAGTAATGTAGGTCAGAGTAGTCTCAGCAGATGAATGATGAAATCAGAAGCTGGAGAGAGAAGAGGAAATGTCCACAATTGGAACAGATGGCTTTCTCAAGAATTACTGAGGAATGGGGGAGAGGAAAACATATTAGATAGTCGTTAAGTGGGGATAGTGGGATCAAGCAAAGGTTTTTTTTTTAACAACTGGGGAGACATCGTCATAATTGTGAGTAACATGGAAAGAACCAGTAGATAGAAAAGAAACTGAAGAGTGGAGGGAGAATGACCCAGAAAGTCGGTAGCTCCCTACTGCTGCTTCAGACTCTCCCTTTGTGACTGCCCCTCAGCAACCCTTCCTCTTCTGAAGTGCCTTCTGTCAAAACTTAGGACCCAATCCATCCAGATCACGGCTGTTCTCCTCTACCTGCCGCCAAGGTCATTCTCCTCCCTTCTCAAGGAGTTCAGTACTGTCTTCCTCTCCTCCCCAAGTCCTGGGGATTTCAACTTTCATTCTGATGGTCCCTCAAAGACTCTAATCTCCGTCTTCAGATCCCGTGCCCTGATCCAGTCCACCTCAAGAACCACACAGAGATGGCCATACCAAATGCCATATGTGCCTCTAATCTGCGCAATTTAGCTGTCTATATTTTAAGATGATAATCGAATCCATGGTATTGGTGTTGTAGGGAAGGGCAAACCTCCACAAACCACAGTGCCTTCTGACCGTGGCAAAGCAATCCTTTTACACTTCCCTAATTGACTCATTATCCTCCCACTCGTGACCACAGCTTTTTTAGACCTTCCACACCTCCTCAAACTTCCCATTTCTCCCCTCATACTGTATGAACATGCCCATGCCTCCCCAATCCTTAAAACACCCTCACTTGGTCCAGCTATCCCTGCTACCTACAATCCAGTATCTCTCCTCCCCTGCATTGCTAAATTCCTTGAAAAAACCATCCACGTTTATACCTCCACTTCCTCTCCTCTCACACTCTTCTGAACTCCCTGCTGTGTGGATTCTGACTTCATGACTCAATTGAAACTCTTCTCTCCTGAGTCACAATAATCTCCTAATTGCCAGATGTAATGGCCTTTTCTCGATCCTCATGCTTCTTGAATAGCACCCTTTGACACTATGAAAACCATATCCTCCAGACTGACGCTGTTCTTCTGGTTCTCCTCCTACCTGGCTGACTACTCCTTCTCAGGTCTCCTTTGCTGGATCTTCCTCCAGGTGACTCCGACTAATTATGGATGGCTAGCCCCCAAAGGTCTGTCCTGGACCTTTCTCTTCTCCCTCTATACTGTCTCCTTAGCAATATCTGTTCCCATGGGCTCAGTTGTGATCTTTACGGAGATGATTCTGAGATCTATTTATCTAGCCCTAACCTCTCTCCTACACTCCAGTCTCATATCACCAACTGCTTGTTGGACATTTCAAACTAGCACGTCCAAAACAGAACTCACTGGTTTTCCCCCAAATCCTTTCCTCTTCCAAATGTCTTTATTACTGTTGAGAGCACAACCATCTTCTTAGTCTTGCAGCATGAGGCATCCTTAACCTCTCACTCAAATTCACCTCATACACCTAATACATTGTTAACTCGTGTTTCTACCTTCACAACATTTCTCGTATATGTGGCCCCTTCTCCCCACTTAAGTAATTCCCACCCTAGTGCGGGCCCTCAAGTGTGTGGACTGTTTTACTAGCTGTCTAGGTGGTCTCTGCCTCAAATTTCTTCCCACTCTATGTCATACTCCCCTCAGCAGCCAAAGTGATCTTCCTAAAATTCAGGCCTGATCATGTCCCATGCTCTGCCCACCCCCACCCCCTTTCAATAAACTCCAGTGGCTCTCTATCACCCTCCATGATCAAATATAAAGTTCTCTGGTATTTAAAGCCATTTCCAATCTAACCCCCTTTCACCTTTCCACCCTTTGTAAACTTTACTCCCTCTTACATACTCTTATGATCAAGTGACACCGTTCTGTTTGCTGTACCTCACATAGGACTCCATCTCCCAAGTCAGTGCCTTTTTGCTGGCTGTCCCCCATGCCTGGTATATTCTGCCTCTTCACTGGGGCTTTCCCTCAAGACTTATCTCAAATCCCACCTTCTTTAAGAGGCTTTCCCAGTCCCTCCCCTTTATTTCCCTTCCATCTGTTTTGTGTATATCTTGTATGTACATGGTAATTTGCATGTCGTTTCCCCCATTGCAATGTGAGAGTCTTGAGGGCAGACACAATGTTTTTGCCTTTCTTCATATCCCTAGTTCTTAGCCTAGCGCCTGGCATGTAGTAAGCACTTAATAAATGCTTGATGACTCACTTACCCTAAGCAATAATGGGAAACAAAGGGTTAGAGGAAGCTGGGCTAGGACTCAAGCTCTGCTGGTCCTCATCATGTCTTTTGCCAAACTGAGTGTGGTAGGTTTTGTGTACCCCTGGAACAAATTCATAGCACGCTTGAGGGTCAGAGGCAATGGCCTCTGATGCTAAAGAAGAAATCAAATGGTGTAAATAATATTTTACTCCAGGCAGGTGTACCTGCTGACCATTGATTTTTCCATGGCCCCTCTTGTTCCCACAACAGAGTCTGCTCTCTCTTTCCCTTCCAGATCTGCCTAAGGAAGAACAGTTCAATGCTGTACAAGCTGCCATTCTCCTACTTCCAGATGAAAACCGAGAAGCCTTGATTATCCTTCTCTTCTTTCTCCGAGATGTCGTAAGCTTTGTGGAAGAGAACCAGATGACTCCCACCAACATTGCTGTCTGCCTTGCCCCATCGCTTTTCCATCTCACTTCTCTCACTTCCTTTCGCCCAGACAATCCCACATCTTCCAGGTATTCCTGTCAAATTCCTATACTCCACTTCCTCCTATTGGCACAAATGAAAGAATTGTAGGCTAGGTTATTAATCTCCTGTTAATGAACCAAGAGGCTCCACATCAGACAGTGGGCCCCAGAAGAAACCAGATAGTGGGCCTGAATTCAGCTGACTGGAGTCTGTCTCTCTTTTACTGGACTGATGGTAGTTTGGCATTCACTGGGAAAGCTTGGAGTATCTCTCTACCAGGACTACAGTAATGTTCTCTCAGCCTTAATGGGAGTGCATGGGAAGGGGCAAAAATGGAGCTCTTTCACGAATGATCCAGAAGAATTTCAACAGGCTAGAAAAATAAACAGTCTAAGAAGATGAGATGTAATAGGCATCAATGTAAAGCCCCACACTTGGGTTCACAGAATTAGTAATCAATTGTATAAACTACAAGATAGGAGAGGCATAGTTAGATAACAATTCCTGTGAGAAAGATCTGGCTAATTTTTAGTAGATTATAAGCTCCAAATGAGTCAGTAGTGAATGTGATAGCCTAAAGGCTATATCTGTTCTTAGGCTAAGAAGTATCTAGAATAACGGATATAGCAGTATTTCTATATTGCCCTAGTCTGATGACATCATGATTATTGTCTTTAGTTTCAGGCAAGACATTTTAATAAAGATGTCCTTAGGTTGGAGTATATCCAGAGGGGTATAACCAGAAAAGTGAAGGGTCTGGAGGTCATGTCAAAGAAACCAGGTGTTTTCATTCTTCAGAAGATGAACCCGTAAGCTGATGGGTAACATGACAGCTGTCTAAATATCTGAAGGGTCCTTATTAACTCTGGAAAGCAGGACTAGAAGCAATAGGTAGAAGTTGTAGAAAAACATGTACATGCTCAATGTAAGGAATAACTTCCTAGTAATTAAGAGTTTTCCCCAGTTGGAATGGCTGCCTTGGTAGGTAAGTTGATTTCCCTACCCTGGGAGATTTGGGGGCAGAAGCTGGATTTATCATGAATGCTGTAGTTTATATTAATTATTCAGGTATGGGCTAAACCAGACCTCTCCTTCCCTCCTGATGTTAAGATTAGATGGTTCTCTATAGCTAGAGGATTGGGACTGGTAAATCTGAGGACAGGCTTTGTAAACTCTTCCATAAAGCCATTTTTCCTCTGCAAAGCAACCCTAGGTGATGAAAATTTGAAAAAAAAAACCCATGTTTATAGGTTGTCCTATCTACCCAGACTTACAGAAATTATTTCTGAAAAGGAATATGTAGCTCATATGTAGGAGAAAGGGATTATGATGAAAAGAACACTGACCTGGGAGTCACAGACCTGACTTCTAGATGTAGCTAGGCCATGAACACTTCCACTTAGATGACTTACTGCAACCTTGGATGAGTCACTTAGCCTTTTTGGGCCTCAAAATGAGACAGATGGACCAGATGATCCTTCCAGCCCCGGAATTCTGAGTCTTTGGGACACCTGGATTTGGACAGGTCACCCAGAGAACTTTTTATCTAGTCTCCTCTACACAGAAGGCTGCTTGTTTGCTCTGAAAAAGACTCCAAGAGTAGATGACTCATGTTGTGCTGAGTACCACTGCTGGGCAGACTTACAGTATGGTTCAGGGGAGGACCCCAAACAGAGGATAAAAAGAAAGATTCTGACGGGGTAGATTTGTCAAACACAGAACAGCTTCCCTGAGGGGATGATATTTTCTATTTTATCTGTTCATTTGGCTTTCTTCCATCATCATTTTTTTTTATATTTAATTGGGTGAGGCTTTCTGCTCTCCCAGGGCAGGGACTAGGTCTATGCTACTCTTTGCAATAATACTCATAGTCATCTCATATACTGTGTGGTATCCTATACATTTCAAAGCACTTAGGATTCATGTGAGAACATAACTTCCTAGACGGAAGCCTTACAATCATCGTGGAAGAAACATAAGGCAGTTATAAAACTGAAGCAAAAAGATGAGACGAGTTATCTGTGATCATACAGCAAACTAGCACGAGAACTGGCTGTAGAAACGGGGCAGCTGGGAAGTTTTAAAGTGTCTCTTATGTTCTGAGTCTCCACTGCAGTTCTCTTCTGATGCTCCATCATAGCTTGGAGGTGATCCTGGGCTCTTGAGGGCTACAATAGAGGACAAGCTCTGGCAGATTCTATCAGACTGGAAAGACTTTAAGTACAGTGATGGACTGTAGGTCTGTTGTTGGAAGAACAGCTTAGCTACACTTGGAAAGGCTTAGAACCAGGGGCACTTAGCATCGCCACTAGATGATGATATGATGGCTTTTTTATATATCACAGCAACTAACAAAACTGTTAATTATGGAAGACCGAAGGTGTTGTCATCTTGACTGGTGAAGGGGAACATCGATAAAATAAAAGCATGAGTCTTTTAAAGTATCCACAGTGAAATAATGGGCATGATGCTTTCTGGAGATGGGTTAAGAGGGCCAGGGATAGAAGAGAAGTGGAAGAACTTATAGCGATATATGATACAGAGAAAGCAATGAAACAATGCATTTCGCGACTTCAAGGGTCGGTTTGTGGTATAAGCAGTAAGTGCCACAAGGGTTTAGGAAAGGTGCCGTCATGGCAGGTAGGAAGAGACAAGCTCCAAAAAGGAAGCAGGCCTTAGGCTAGCCTCAAAGAAAGTTGGATAGGGATGGCTGGAAAGGAGCCTGCCTCTAATACTCATTACCCGTGTGACCTTGAGTGCTTCACTCGTACTCTCTGGGCCTCAGTATCACGCGAGATGAAGGGGTTGCCCTAGGAGGCCTCTAAGGTCTCTTCCAGCTGTGATCCCAGACTCGAGGGGTGCTCAGTGGAGAGTCCTTCACAAGCATCATGGAGAGTGAGGGCGATTGAAGTGGGGCTCGAAAGAACTGGAGGGGGGCAGCTAGGCAGTGCAGTAGATAGAGCACCGGCCCTGAAGTCAGGAGGACCTGAGTTCAAATCCGGCCTCAGACCAAACACTTGACACTTACTAGCTGTATGACCCTGGGCAAGTCACTTAACCCCAATTGCCTAAAAAAGGGGAAGGAAGGAAGGAAGGAAGAATTGGAGGCACTAGACAGGTGTGTGGTGAGTCTAAGTTAGATTTGGAAGGAACCAGAAAGGGCTTGAGAGAAAGGACCTGAGTGAGTAACATGTTCCAGGTAGTGGCAAAGAAATAGTGCTGGGGAAAAGAGAAAGCTAGTCTGTATTTTTTTAATCCCACCTTCTGCCCCATCCCAAAAGATCCTGCTCCTTTTGACTTCCCTGGAGGGAGAAGCTCAGACACAAGCAAAAAAAAACAAAACAAAACTAAGAAAGGCAGAAAGTCTGGCAGTCTTCCTGGTGTAGAACTCGGGCTAGCAATGAAGGAGTAGCTAGGCCAATGGAGAAGAAAGAGTATATAGGAGCTGAGCTCGGATTGTTCTTATCCACATGAAACAGGAAATGGTTTCAAATAGGGAGTGTTTTCTTTATCTCATTATAAAAGAAAGAGGCTTTGAACCTTACATTCAGGTAAGTAGTTATTAATGTTGACTTTGGGACTCAAACTTCAAAGGGGCCTCCAGCCTGGACTGGGGCTCTAGTGTGGAGTCCTTATCCGTAAAGGAGGCAGAAGAATGTCCCAGATAATGTTATTGAAAGAGAGTTTTGGTGATGTCACAGGAGAAAGGAAAGAGTGGAAACCTGCTTAAGAATAAACATGAGTCAAACCTGCCAGCTTCCCCCCTTTGCCCTCATACACAGTCTCCTTTGCTGCCACTGGGCCTGCTCAAGGAGAAGGCAGAATAAGCCTTGTTCTTTGGAAAGAGGAATTATGGGACTGCATTTCTGTGAGAAGAAAGGAGCAGAGGTGGGCTTAAAATACCAGATGGTTTTTTCATGTTCCTCCAGGTTCCTGCCAAGATCTGTTGCCTTCATGTCCATGGGGCGAGAGCTCCAACATGAGGCTCCTTCCAGCTCTAAAATGATTAGATTCTATGGAGTGTTGGTGTAGGTCCTATTATAGACAGTGAGGTTGCTGCCTCCCTGTGAGGTTGGGAGGTGGTGTGGTGCCATGTGAGAAGGGTGCTGGACAGTCAGAGGGCCCAGGTTTGAATCTCATCTCTATCATTTATTGTTTTACTTCTTTAATAATAAATCATTATTAAGTTTGGGGTCTTAAATTTCCTCATCTTTAAAATAAAGAGGATTAGATGACCACCAAGGCCCCTTCCAGTTCAGAATCCATGATTCCATGAGCACTCTTCTCTGTTCCTCGACTCTCCTGTAACTTAGAGACTTCTCCCCCTCTTGCTCTGCCTGACTTTCCTGTAAAAGTAAAGACTTGTTGAACTGCACTTAACTTGTGCATGGGAAGATCATGGAGTCTTTAACTTCATTGCCTCCTTTTTGATACCATTTCCTTCTGCCCAGCATAACGTGGCCAGACCACTAACGAGGCTCGAGGTAAGGGGGCAGTGTGACGTCTCGGGGGTTATCTACCAGTCTGGGGGTTTTCTAAAGGCTTCCTCACCTCACTGTTTTCTCCCAGGTCCAGTCAGAAGAAATACAATGTGGGCAAACCTGATCAGAGGGACCTGAGCGAGAACCTGGCCGCCACCCAGGGCCTGGCACACATGATAGCAGAATGCCACCGGCTCTTGCAGGTACGGCAGTCGGTGCTAGCAGGAAAACCACCTCCAAGAACACCAAACCTATCTTCTTCCAGTTGCCATGTGGCCTAGGACAGGCTGTCCACCTTCAGAAAGCCTTACTTAAATGCACAGCTACAGGTGGCAGTGTGCTGAGCCCCGGACGGAGGCAACGCCTCCCTGAGCCCTGCCTTAAAGGCTGCTCGGGAGCTGGACTGAGGTCACCAGACTAAGACCAGTTTTGCAGCATAGGAAGAGCTGGTCTGTTCCAGGGGCTGAGAGAAGAGAGGGCAGGGTGGCCATGATTTGAGGGAAGCCTGGGGTGGTGCACATCTGATTTTCAGTTTCACAGGCCTCCTTGCGTGTACATGTGCTTACAAGTTGTAGTATAGAGCAAGAGTGTCAAACTAAAATAGAACAAGGGCCACTGGTCTATACCCAAGGATCCTTGTACGTTGCACATTAACTATATTTTAATATACTCTGATGTGGTTAAATATTTCCCAATTACATTTTAATATGGTTCAGGCTACCCATGGCCCGAGGGCCACACCTCAGACACCTCTGATGTCAAGGTGTGGTTTCGAAATCGGGAGAACTGAGTCCTGGGCCTAGTTCTACTCTTACCTTTCTCTGCGATTCAACCTCCCTGGGCCTCAGTTTTGTCATCTTTTAAGTGGGATTAATAACACCTGCCCTGTCTCACTCCCAGAGCCAGGGTGTGGTGAATGCAGACACACTGCCTGGGATGGGAGGGCAGAAATCGATCTCCTCACCTTCATCCCAGGCCATCACGTCCTTGATTGTGTGTCCAGCTGTTCTTTGAGGGGCTGGAGCTTTTTAATCTGGCGGCATGAGCTGGAGTCAGCGCCTGCCTTGTTCTTTTAGCGATGGGGGGCAGGGGCAGAGTCTATGGCATTCCATCTAAATGGAGCCTTGATTAGTACCACACAGGTGCTCCACAGAGTCTCCTTAATAAGGATTCATTCATTCACAGGCATTTATGAAGTGTTTTAAAGTAGAATTGTGGAACAGGAATTAAATTCAGCAGGTATCATAAAGCAGGAAGAGCACAGAGATATGATGCAACCCCTTGCACCCTTCTGGTCCAGAGGGGGAGAAACTTATAGGAATGAAAGTATCGTAATGCTGGTGTGGGGTATAGCCATGAGAAGTTTACTGCTTAGATCGGAGGTGACTGTGGCTGCTTAGCCTGTGGTCTTATAGGTCTTTCAGTTCATGTCACCTTCCCCAGCAGTCTGTAACTCCACTTAGGACATGGATTTTGTTTTACTCTTTGTATCACAAAGAAAAAAAAACTGCATAAGCATTTATAGAATGAACGGGAATCGTTAAGAAGGGCTTTGTGGAAGTGGAACTTGGATTGGACCTCGAAAGATGAGGGAAGTTTGAATGAGCAAGAAGACTGGGACACCTCAGAGCTGGGGAACGGCACAAGAGGGAACGGGTCCTCGCTCCTCCAGAGAAGCAGCCTGGGGGTAGGAAAGAAGCGGAGGGGCATTCTTGCCCTAGTTCTGCCAACCAGCCGTGTGATCTCCAACAAGTTCCTTCACCTCCTGGTGCCCCCAGCGCTAGTTTTCTCAGTGATGAAAGGCGATGATAAGACCCACTTTACCCATTCATACGGTTATTGTGAGGATCAGATGACAACCTATGTGAAAACATTTTACAAATTACAAAGCCTCATATGCACATCAGTGACATTGTTTAGTTGGGGATCTAAACAAAATAAATCGAATCTACATAGCCAAGTACTATTTGAAATATAAATAAAACAAGTGAGGGGGTAGATGGTAGAGTATGATGATGGTGACAACATAGCAGTAACTTTGCCCTTCCTTGATTCCACCCCGTGCAGCTGCCCACAAGTTACTTGGAATCCAACAGGGGCCAGCAACCCCCCCATCCCTGAAAAAAGCCTGGTCAGTTACTCGATGGTATTGAAATCTCTAGAGAAGTCCATTCAGGACCTGCTCCGAGATGCCAAGGACAAGTTCCGAACCTGGGCTAGCCGCTTTTGCCTGGAGAATGTGGAAGTGGCCAATAAAAAGGTAGGCTCTGCTCCAGTCTAAGGGTTGTCCTATGCTCAGAAGGTCTTCAGAAATATCTAAGGATACACTGGAGTTTTTTGCTGTATCATTTCCTTGATCGTACATTCTCTTCTGAAAGTAGTAGGGAAGAGGAGAAAGGTAGAAGAAATATTGGAGTGGGAGCAGACCTCGAAGACACCCCTCCCCATGTTACCAGTAGACAGTTATAATCTGGTGTTTCCAAGGGTCTTATGTCCTAGCACCCCCCTGGAGAAGGTACTCCAGGAAACACTGTTAACCCAATCTGTGAAACAGAAGTACTACTTTCTTTATAAGGTTGTTGTGAGAATCAAAAAGCACCTTGTAAACCACAGAGCATAAATGTGAGCTTTTAATTTGTGCATATGAACAGATTAGGTGAGCTTAAAGGGAGAAGGCAGCTTGAAATTTAGTCAACTCTTGATTATGAGCTTTCATAATCATCTTGTCTCTTCTTCCTCCCCCTGACTTACCCGCAGGTAGAAGAAAACTCTCACTTACTGCTTTGGAAAGCCTCTGTTGATGTCCATGCTGCCCCTCAGGCTATCCTTCAACGTGTGCTTAGAGCACAGTTGTCCTGGGACCACACTCTGCAGCAGGCTGTTGTCCTAGAGGTACTGAATGAGGAGGCTGATATTTACCACTACACAGTGAAAAGCATGACCCCACTCCCTGTCCAGGAATATGTGGTGCTAAGGTAAGGATCGATGAAGCCAGCTCTGTCCACCCTTTCTTTTTCTGAGTTTGTTGTGGTATGGATGAAGTTCATCAATCAGTCACTAAACATTTATTAAGTGTCAGGTAGGGGGATTAGGCATTGATTATGCCTAATATGTGCCAGGCACCATGCTAAGTACTGGGGATACAAAGAAAGGTAAAAGATAGTGTCGGCTCTTGAGCTTTGTAATGGGGAGAGATGCAAATAACTATGTACATGTAAGCTACATAAAGGAAAAATTGGAAATAATCAAGAAAGAGAAGACACTAGAATTAGGAGGGACCAGGAAAGGCTTCCTATAAAAGGTGAGACTTTATCTGGGATTTGAAGGAAGCCAAGAGGCAGAGGTGAGAGCATTCCATGCATAAAGTGAAAATGCCCAGTCAGAAGATGGAGCATCTTATGGGAGGAACAGCAAGGAGGTCAATGTCCCTAGACTGGAAGACTCTAAATGCCAAATACAGGATTTGATATTTAAAATCACCCAGAGGTGACAGGGAGCCACTGGAGTTTGCTGAGTGAGGTGGTAACTATGCTTTAGGAAGATTAATACACTGACAATTGAGTGGATGATGAATTTGAGTTGGGGAAAGACTTGGGGCAGAGGGATCAATCAGTAAGCTATTGCTTGCTATCAGTCCAAGCATGAGGTGATAAGAACTTGCACCAAAGTGGCGCTGGAGTGAAGGGGAGAAGGGGCTATATGTAAGAGAGCTTATTAAATTAAACCCAACAGATTGGATGTAGGGGGTGAGAGTAAGGAAAGGAGGATGACAGCTGTGAGGCAGAGTCACCCTCAACAGTAACAGAGAAGTCTGGACAGGCAAAGGGTTTTGGGGAAAAGACGAGTTCATTTTTGGGTATGCTGAGTTTAAGATGTCTAAAGCCAATCAGTTTGAGATGTTCAACAGGCAGCTGATGATACAGGTTAGCAGAGAGATTAGGGCTGGATAAATAGAGTTGATGATCAAATTCACGTGTGTTGATGATATCACCAAATGAAACAGTACAGTCCTGAGGGAGAACAGGGCCCACGACAGAGCCCTGTGGAGCACCTATGGATAGTTGAGATGACTAGATAAAGATCCAGCAAACAAGATGGACAAGGAGAGGTCACATGGATAGGAGCAGAACTAGGAGGAAGTAGTGTCATGAAAACCTAGAGGAAAAAAGAGAGTTATCAAAAAGAAGAGGGTGATCAATTGTGTCAAGGTGGGTAGAGAGGTCAGTAAAGATGAAGAATGAGAAAAGGCCATTAGATTTGGCAATTGAGAGATCATTAGTAACTTTAGAGCAAGCAGTTTTGATTGAATGATGAGGTTGAAAGCCAGATTATAAAAAGAGAACAAGAAAAAAGACTGAGGAACGTATTCTAGACAGCCTTTTCAAGAAGCTTAGCCTTGAAAGTCAGGAGAGAGACGGGACAATATTGGAGATTGAGTGAAGGTTTTTTCAGGATAGGGAGACATGGGCATGGTTGTAGGCAGTAGGGAAGCAGCCAGTAGATAAAGAGAGATTGAAGATAAGTGAGGGAGAAAAGATGATACAGGAGGCAATATTTTAGAAAAGATGGGATGGAATGGGATCACTTGTGCATGTAAGACAGGTGTGAAGGAAGAGATAGTGGCAGAAGGCATTTGGGTGATACGAGATAAAGAGGAGAGAAGAAGGAGTTTTAGGTGAATGACTTCAGTTTTTTCACAGAAAGCTGAAATCCAGAAGAGGGGAGGATTGCTCTGTCCAAGGTCTTAGGGTGTATTAACAGTTGGCTGGACATGAGGACGAATTAAAAAGATTAGGACTCTTCCGTGTGGAAAAAAGGCATGAATCCATGTCTATGAAATAATAAAGAATACAGAAAGTTAAAGGATGAGGATAAATATTAGCTACTGTTCACAGAATTTTAGAATACTAGAAGTAGGAGGCCTTCTTGAAGGAGAATGTTTTGGAACAAAAGTCTCACTTTACTGAGCAGGCAGTAAACTTATGGAATTTATTATCCTGAAAGATAGTACACGCTAAAAATACAACTAGTGAAATGTAAAATGAAGTTTACTTCATTCACATTAGATAGACAAAGGACTTTAAAGAGAAAGTTAACTTTTGGCATAGGTGTGATGGAGTATTATAATGTATCCCCACAACCTGTTCTTAAATGCCCCAGAATTCTTGACTGGATAGATGAAGCTGACATTTTTGCTGTACGTATTTACAGTGCTTCTGTTTCACTGTGCCCCAGGAGACCTGGGAGCTCAAACTCTGCTTCTTTGCTCTTTAGGACCTGGAAGTCATATCCCCAGAGCAATACCTATGTTATAGCTGCAACCTCTGTGTGGTGTGAAGGTGCTGAACTGCATGGAGTCTTGGGAGAGGTCATCTTGTGCCAGTATCTGATTGAAATGGTGGGACCTGAAAAATCCCGAGTGACTCATGTCTGCAGAAAAGACACCAGGTATGAATGGACCCCTTATCATCAAGGCAGTACCTTGATGGTATTAGTGAATGAGACTTATTTAAATATATCTCTTCTCTTCCCTCTTGGCTTTGGAGAAATGTCTCCAAATTTCTCTTCTTTAGAGGGCCGCTCCTACATTCTGGTCCTTGTTAGTAATGAGGAACTTTTTCCTGTAAGTTAGGTCTCCACTTTGCCAAGGGTGGACCATTAATGATGGCAAACAATTATGAGCAGTGGGGTGAGGGCTCTAGGGATCAGCTGAGCCTCATGACTAGAATGCCTTTTTGTTTAAAGGAAATGCCAGCTCTCAAAAGATAAATACCACAGAGGTCTATTAAATACAACCATTTAAAAAAAAAACACTCCAACTTCTGAAGAGTTCTTTTGCATTACAAACTAAAACACTGAAGGGGACCTGGAGCAGACCAAAGGAGAGTATTAAGCATAAGTTTCTAAGCACTCATCCAGTTGGTATTTCCTCTCCTGAACTCACTATTATGGAAGGTATATGAAAGAAATTAGCACCTATTTCTCTGAAGCTAAGGTTGTAATTTCTGACATGTATGAAGCATTAGTTGTTTGTTTAAAGTTCAGAGGAGTATATAGGTTAAAGAATTAGAGCTTACAGAAACCTAAATGGTCAAATAAGTTCAACACTCCCTCCTATTTTATAGAGGAGGAAACAAGAGGCAAACTGACTTACCCAAGGTCCTGGATTCAAAACGAAGTTGTCTTATTGCAAAGCCAGCATTCTTTCCACTGTACACAGATCAGAGGTACGCTTCAGAGACACTTTCTGTTGAGTGGCTACCAGAGCTGGCTGAAGTTTCAACAGCAAACTCCATCAAAAGAATTTATTGATCATCTTTTGCCCCTAAGGATGATACAAAAAAAAAAAAAGGTCTGTGGCCTCAATTAACTTAGTTTATATTCAAAGGAAAATTTTTCTTAAATGAACTCCTGTTCATCAGGACAGAGGCCTGGGTTTTAATTCTGCTTCTGCCACTCACTCACTGGTAAGTGACCTTGGGCAAGTCAGTCACTCTCACTCACTGGATGACTTTTTTTTTTAAAATCTGTAAAATGAATGGGAGTCGATTATTGCTTATTTTCATTTTCTGACATTCAGTGATTTGGAAATAAATATTTGGTAACTGGTCCCTAAAAACTTAATTCAATTTAATGCAATCACTTATTAGGTGCCAACATGTGTATGGATGATACAAAGATTAAGGCAGAGTACTTTCCTGTCCTACTGAAGCTTATAATCTAGTAAAAGGATACAAAAGCCACACTAAATTATACTTTTTAAAATGTCTGTAAAGTCTTAAGGGAGTGTGTATCATCTGTCAGGATTTCATAAAAGATCGAATGGAGGATGCGGCATTTGAGTGAGAACAACAGAAATGGATAGGAAAGGAAAGTAATTTCAAGGACAGTGAATGCTGTGATAAAAGGCAAGCCTGAGCATGAGGAATAGGCCAGCTTGCCAGAGCATGTAAGGGGGTTGTGTGTGATAAGGCTGTAAAGGAAAGGTGCCAGATTGTGGGCAGTTAAGGAGTTAGCACTTTATTCAGTAGGCAAAGGAATGATAGAATACCTGTGATAGACTGGAAGAAGAAAGAACTAGAGATGGAAAGACTCCCAAGAAGGAAGAAACTTGGTTGAAAATGAGTAGCATGTAAACAGCATTGAAAATTGTCTAAATCTGATATGAGGAAACTATGAAAGAAAAGCATTTGAGAGGGTTCATCTGTGAAGCTGATGGTAAAGCTAGTCTATGGAGATTTTATCCAATCTTTCTTCTTCTTTTCCACTTACCTCAAGACATGATGAGAACTTGTCAACTCATCTCCATTAGCTGGGTACTCAGCCCTCTAGGTCCAAGCATCCTTTGTAACCTGAGAAAACACAATGGATTAGAAAATAACTTGTTCAGCGAGGAGACAAAAACAGAAGTCACTCATATTTAGGTAGTTGGATTTCACAGTTCCTCAATAAGTACTCAATTCATTTTTTCTAATGAACCCTTTTTGGAGGACTCCCCAGAATCAGGGTTAGCAACTCATAGGACCAGGGTCACTAAATTTACCTGAGACAGAAGGTATCGCTCTACCAACATTTACACAACTACTGTTTCTTTTTGATTTCCTTTTCTCCTTTCCTTTCCTATTCTGACTCTTTCTTCAGAGTTAGAGACTCCCCTTTACTATATTAATGCCTGTAACCTAATTTCCTTCTTGTTGCTTTGCAGAGGGCGGACTTCTAAATGGTACAGGAATGTTTTCGGGCACATGTGCGCAGCTGAATTGCTCAGATTAAAAGACTCTTTTCAATCTTCAAATTCAGATGCCAAATAAGCCCCAAATCTGAAGCCAGAGCTGTTCTGAGGCGCAGTTAACTGCTGTGCCCTTCAGCCATGTTTAGATAATGGAATGCTGTTTTTAATACAACTGATAATCAAAGAGTGTCTAAAGGAATATCATTGTATAAGAAAAAGCTATTCTTGGAGAGATTCTCGATAGGAGGATATTAAAGGCCAAACTATTTATATAAAAACCTAATCTTAACATCGCAGAAATACTCAAAATGATGGTTTAAACCTATACTGTGCAGTAAGTTATTAAAAACTTGGTGATTACCTATATTTTTTGAATTTTTTAATAATGTGAAGTTGTATGTAACTTTTTTAAAAAAAGGTTTGTATAAATTGCTGTAAATTTTTTTTTAAGCATGGAGAAAGTAAACTGAAAGGCTTAAAGGTCATAATACATTTTAAGATGAGTTGTCCATAAGACTGTTAAATTGTTTTCATTTGTGGTATAAAACACTATTAATAATAAAGTTGTTAACAAATTGAGAATTATGTAAGAGTGTAGTGCTTAAAAAAGGAAGGAAAATTGGAAGAAAGAAGAAAATTATTAAAAGTCAGAAAACATATAAAAAGGATCACTAGGGACAGCTAGGTGGTGCAGTGAATAGAGCACCGGCCCTGGATTCAAGAGGACCCAAGTTCAAATCCGGCCTCAGACACATAACACTTACTAGCTGACCCTAGGCAAGTCACTTAACCCCATTGCCTAGTCCCCCTCCCCTCCCCCAAAAAAAGGATCTCTACTGGCACAACTTAGTAACTTCCAGCATGAGATCTGGGAAAGATCTTAGCATAAAGAGGCCAAGGTCCCATACCACATCTGATCCTAGACCTTGCCACTGGACTCCAATGACTCTGGAGGAGAGAGTGAGGCTGATGACTTTGCACAGCCCTGCCCCACTTAAATCTAATTCACTTGCAAGTCAAGACATCAACCTCCTGATGTCACTGTCCTCTTCAAGAATGAAGGATGAACAGCAATAATCACTTCCAGTAACAATCTGCCATAAAGCCAATGAGATTAAAGGAACATGTCATTTACATGTGATTAGCATGATCGATAAGAACAGTCATCTATATACGACACAATATTCAAGTAAGAAGTTGTTACTGCTACTTTTAGTGTAGCTACTGCACGACATTGCTTCGTTTCATCAAAACCAATAACCTGGGGAAAGGATGTCAGCCTACACTGTATAATGAACGACAAAAATTTTTTTAAATTAAAAGGCCTATTTATTTGGCTTTTGAAACCTCATTGGATAATTCAGGAAAAGGAATAAAAAGAATTTACAAGACTGGAGAGGCTATGGATGGGCAAGGTGCCAGTCTTCCAGGGTAAAGAAAGTTCCTCACAGAGAGCTCCTTCCCTATTTTAAGTTAATAGTTCAGTGAAAACCAAATTTATGGAGAAAGTATAGGTAGGTGAGTTCCTCAGTGTCAAAAAAATGTTAATAATGTCCTAAGTTACTGAATTCAAATACATATATATCTTAGTCCAATTGAGCTTTTACCTTCAAAACTCTTTAAGACCAGAAGATTAGTGAAAATTAAGTTTAGAAGGAAAGATAGGTTCTGTGAGTTCATTCATTCATATGCAAAGATAATGAAGATGGAATGTCTACTCCTGTGGAATTTACGAAGCAGAGAGAATAATTAGAAAGTTCGGGGGAGGGCTCATATGAATCCTAGGGTGTCAGTTTAGTTAATAATCTATAGTCAATCTGAGATATTTCTTATTTTTTCCTACAAGCTAGTACATTTTTAGACTTCAAAGAGGTGAAATGAGGATACAACTGAGGTCATGGAAAAGTCAATGGGATCATGTAAGTTATCTGATATCAGACTGGCACATTCTTATAAGCAGCCCATTAATTCTTAGATGGAATAAATGGCAAATGAAGACACAAACAGGGTCACAATGATGTCACTGAAGCCAGAGAAAAGTCACTCAAAGGCCCATTTGAAATCTTAAAGTTCATTTAAGGTAAATATAGGACTTGTTAATTTTGCCAAAAAATATCCAGGAAATTTTTTATGCATGCACACATATTAAGAAATTGCCCAGTTTTAGCTCAGAGGAATACTGTGACATTTAATGATGCCAGCAACTCTGAATGACCTTTCAATTATACAATTCCCATTTTCAGAATTCATTCTGTTGATGAATCCATGGGCTCTTGGTACAGAGGTCATTTTCAATTCCATGAGGTTCTGGCTCACATTTTTCTGCAAAATCCTCCATAGAAGATCCACCCAATATTCTGAAGGCCTTTGTATGGTCCTTTTACTGTTCTATGGATATAACACTCAGGTTTTCTATACTCTTGATATATAACCATTCACTATCACACACAGATCCTTTGTGGTCATACATGTCTCTAAAATTCAGATTCTTTTGAGATCACGGTGTTCCATGATTTACATCCATATAATATCACTGGGATAATACTGGTATTAAAAAGAGACTTTTGTGACAGTGAGCAGTTTGGGATCTTTGAAAATACTGCAAAATTGCAAAAGGACTAATCTCCTCTTCAGTTCTGGGCCCCGTTCACTGTTCATCTCTGACACCTCATTCCTATATGACTAAGAATAATAACCCTACGTATGGTTTAACCCAGTTGATTACCTATCCAACTGCAAGTATAAATCAGGGAAAGACACATTTTTCATTCATTTTATTTTTCCAACCATGGCTAGCTAACGCCCTCACTTTGGAATGACTGTGGGCCTCATTCAGGAAGACCTCTAGTCATCAGGACAATGTCACCCACACCAAAGAAGATCCGAAAAACCTCACCATTGATAAGAAATAACTCTTCTATTGCTATTCTCTGCATGCAGTCTACTATGACACTGGTCAACAATGAATCTCAAGAATTGGACATCACCTAAGAGGTCATTTAGTACAACCTGAAAATAACAAAGTAATCTCCTTTACAATATTCTCAGCCAGTGGTCATCAAGCCTCTGTTTGAAGGCCTACAGGGCTTCTTAGGTCCTCCTCTAACCACCCCTTGAGGATATTCATTCCACTTTTGGGCTGTTGTTGCAAAGCCTAATTTGCCTCTCTGCAACCTAAACTTGCAAAATTAGACCTTAATTTTACCTTCTGGAGTCAAGCAGAGCAAGGCCATGCCCTCTTCCACACAAAGTCCTTCAAAGACCCCTAAGTTTTCCCTTCTGAAAGCCAAATACCCTTAGTCACTTCAACTAATACTCATATAACATGGTGTCCAGTCCTATCACATCTTGATTACTTTCTTAAGATACCTAACACTAAACACAATACTCCAGATGGAATCTGACCAGAGCCAAGTACAACAGGTCTATGTTTTTATACTATGCTTTTCAGTTAAGCCTAAGATTGCATTAGTTTGGGGGGGGGGGGTTGGAAGGGGGCAGGGGAGAATGTGGGCTGTCATATCATCTTGTTGACACATTTGAACTTGAAATCCATAAAACCTCTAGATTTTTTTTTTTGCAAGTTCAACTCAAGAATGACCTCATACATAATGTGCCTTGATTTCAGCAAGGAATTTGACCATCTCTCAGGATATCCATGTGGACAAATGGAAAGATACAGGCTAGATGACAGCATGCTAAGGGGAATGTTACTTGTTGAATGATCAAACCCAAAGAACAGTCATTAATGGGTTATCGTTTAGTTAGAGGGAGATCTCTAGTGGGGTGTTCCACGATTTTGTCCTTGGCTCTGTGCTATTTAAAAGTTTTTCATCAATGACGTGAATAAAGGCACACACAGCACGTTTATCAAATTTGCAGATGACACAAAGCTGCAAATGCTAGCTAACATGCTGGATGACAGAATCAGCATCTAAAAACATCTTGACAAGCTAGAACAACGTGCCAAATCTAGTAAGATGAAGTTTAATATAAATATATAAATCCTATACTTGGGGCTAAAGGAATCTACTACACAAATACTGAATTATGGAGATGTGGTGAGACAATAGTTGCTGCTAAAGGAGTTTTAGTGGCTTGCAAACTCAAGTGAATCAATAATGTAACACGACAGAACAACAACAAAAAAAGTGAATATAAACTTGGCTGTGTGAATAGAAAACACTATTCTTTATAAAGGAAGTGATAGTTCTGCTGTGTTCATTTAAAGCAGACCTGCACAACCTGTGGCTCACCAAAGGATTTCCAGCAGCCTGCGAAAAACATTTCTCTCTACATTATTCGTGGGCCGCCAGAAATCCTCTGGTGTTCCCACAGGCCATAAGCAGCCCAGAACCGTGGGTTGTACAGGTCTGATTTAGAGTATGGTACTCAGTTTGTGGTACCACTGACAAGATGAAATGTATTCAGAAGAAGTTAAGTGGGAGGGTGATAATAATATTAGGAATAATAGCTAGCATTCATATACTGCTTTAAGGTTTGCAAATAACTTTATATGCAATAAAATAATTTTACATATATTATCTCATTTGACAGTAACCCAGTTGGGTACGTGCTGTTGTTATCCTCCTTTTATAGATAAGAAATTGGGTCTGAGACAGATTAGGTGACTTGCTCAGGGGTCTCATGGCTAGTAATTGTCTGAGGCAGATTTTGAACTCAAGTCCAGCTTCCTATCTACTGTGTTGCCTAGCTGCCTCCAAAGATGTGACTCAGGCCTATACCATACAAGGATGAGTTGAAGGAACTAAGGATGCTTAGCCTGTTTACAAAAATAAAGAAAGCTTACTGGGGGCATATTGGATTAAGTGACCTCTGAGGTCGCTTGCAGCTTTTAAACTATGACACTTTTACTGGCTGACTTCAAGTGTCTAAAGGAATGTCATATGGAAGAGGGATTAGAATTGTCCCCACTTGACTCCAAAAGGCAGAATTAGGAACAAAATGTAGAAGTTGATGAGAAGCATATTTATGCTCAATACAAGGGAAAAACTACTTCCTGACAATTAGAGCTATCTGAAAAAGGAATGAATCGGCTCAGTAATTAGTAAGATCCCCTTCCCTAGAGAAATGCAGGCTGAATGACCAACTGTCAGCACCGTGGCAGGGGATTGCTGTGTAGGTACAGTTTGGACTGGGTGGCCTCAGATTTTGTGTTTCTGATTTTGTACAAAAAGAAATTCATGCCAACACTGCTCATCTGTGCTATACGTGGCTATTTTTTTAAAATAAGATAAATCAAATGAAAAATATTTGTGAAGCACAGTGCCTGGCACATAGTAGGTTCTAAAGAAATAATTACTCCCTCTCCTTCCCTTTCCCTATTATAAAATTAGGGATCCAGA